ACTGCTTAAACTGTAACTTGGCGACATTTGAAAGCAAAAGCAAGCTTATGAACTACAGGAAGGGTTGCACAAAAGACATTGTGACTACTAAAATTGTTGACAAGCTGATTACCCTCATGAAAAATGCTAGCAATCACTTTATATGCTACTGTTCTCATGAGCGCTGTAGAAAGCTGATTCCTGCTGGGCTCAGCAGAAACCTTACTACCTAGACAACAAATATTTAGGTAGATCTTAGCACGACCTAGTCTGCTATACTTGCAGAGCAAGTGCGTTTGATCCTATAGGGGTAGCTGTTTGGTATTAGTTTAGATAGTTAGTTATCAATGAAAGGATGATAATTCGAAGGTGTATACTGCGTGTCCAAAGGGAAACTGTCAGGTCTAAAAATATCGGAGTCGGGTCGGGCGTCGGACTATGTGTCGGAAATGTCGGAAATGCGTTGGACGGTGAAGGAATGTGTCAGAAGTGTGTCGTATTGTTGGTCAAACGAGTGTCGGATGTGTCAAAATGTTTCGGAGAAAAAGAGTGGATGGATATTTCGCAATACAATCAAGTACTACTAATATCCCATGACTTCCATCCTACTACTGAGTAGGAAAAAGTAAGTAAGTTCATAGGTAGGAAGTACTAGATATTAAATAGTATCTATGTAGAATTTCGGAGTGCATTAGGCAAAAACAGTAGTGCAAAATCAGGTCCGAATGTATGTAAAAGAGCATGTGTACTGCACCTTTTGTAGATAACATGTAATAACACTGTCTGTAATATTCAATAATGTGAAAACAAGTAAATACGCACCAGTGGGGATAGATGCGGCTGGACAGGACATAGGGAGGACGAGTCCAATGCAAAAATGTCGGGTCCGAAACTTTTGGGTTGGGGTCGGGGTTGGGGTCGGGATCGGAATGTTGGGGATGTGTCGGACGAATACTGTTTTAACATGAGTATCAAAAACACGGGTTTTGAGCCCAGTGCCACGACTATCATTACAGCGCTGTCTAGGTGCTGATAAAATGTACAAAACTATTGAGGGCTGAAGAAGCACATGAAAGAGGTTGGTTTAGAGTGGGTTGATCCTCCAAATTCACCACAGTCCATTGATTTTCATCAGGTATGGAGTTCCCTTAACATGAGTATTCAAGCAATATAAATGCACCAATAATTCAGACCTTCACCCCAGTCACTACTCCCAGTCATCCTCCATTGTCATGGTCTCCCAGTGCATCCCCCACCAGTAGTACTCAAGCATAGCTACATGAATTTGATATCACAGTGAGAATCAATTCTCTGGATGCAGGCAACAATTCTGCAAATGTGGATGAGAGTAGGGAGTCAGGTGACAAGGCAGCTGATGTGAGCAGCAATCCATTTCAGGGAGGGCATAGTGGCGTCAATGACTTAGAAGTGGTAGGTATTAGTTTAGGCCAACTTCAAATGATGATCATTACCCTCTTTACCTCTAGGCTGGCACCTTCGAAGCAGAGCAAACTTGGTAGTTTGCTGGTGGCAGCACTTTGAAAAAGAACAAGCTCAGTGGCAGCAGCATCTGGAAGCAAGTATGGCAGCTGAGCGTGCTTCATTGGAAACTAAGCAAGATACACTCACATTGATGGTATCTAAGCTGACAGACACAGAGGTCAGATGAGAGCAAGAGCATAAGGCTTGGGAGACAGTGCTCCAAAGGTGTAAGCAGAAGCTTGCAAAGTGAACAATGGAGTGGGAGAATGCCTGCCTCAAAGTGACAGAAATCCCTGTTGGAGATGATATCGAACCTGGTGAAGTTTTGAAGGCAAACACCCTGTTCCATGCTTCAGAAGCTGACATTGGCTTGGAGGAAGGAGAGCTGGGAGAGTACTAACTAATTCTATGCCTGGCAACCTAGATAGATTTGGTTATATGGCAATATAAGTTGAAGTTAGTATAGTAAGTAGTCACTACTGGCAGTGGCATTTATTATAGAATTTTTGGTCAGCACACAAGAGCATAAGTGTTGGAATCCGAGGGACCCAAGGCCCCCAGGAAGTTGAGGGACGAGGTATGAGTGCTGACTGACATTGGCCAAATACTGTCTTGATTCTTGTTTCAAACTTATGTGTTTTTTATTCCTATTTTACCAGTTCCTCCAGTGCAATAAATAGCAAGCGCCATTGATGAACACATTTCAGTCGTCATCCCAGACATTGAGATGTGAGTACCAATACCACTTAGTCTATCCTTTACAAATTAACAATTCACATTGAATATATTCTTATGGGTACTTACTGCTGTCTGTCATCATGACAGTAAGTCAAGCAATAGTTGATTCTGGGGCAACATCCTATTTTTGCCCTGACTCCGCCATATCACATGCTTCCAGGAAGAACTCAGCCGGTATTTAGCACCTGTATTTATTGAGGCATGGATAAGTAAGCTTAGATACATATATTAGTTTTTAACATAATAGCAGAGATGATCTTTGCGTGCAGGACCACAAATTAAGCTTCACTGGAAGGAATTCCATTACCATCCCATGAGGCAGGAATATAAGATAAAAGGCTGTGCCTCAGACAACATAGGTAGTGCACCTCAGCTGATAGCACTTACCATGCTTCTGGGTGTCTTTCTCTAAGCTTCTGGAAGTGGGTTACTGCTGCTGCTGTAGAGCCTCACATCTCCACAGGCACTTCCCTCCAAATTCTCCCACTTTCCCTACACACTCCAGCTCTAATCCAAAGGATACGTCTTGTGCAGTAGCGCTCTCTATTTTATTTTGCAGATTCCATGCGCAGCCACCCGCACTTTGCAGTGCACTGTGCGTCCGCTTTTGCATCGTCCACATACCCGTCTGCCCGTCCTCCCCATGTCCTTAGATGTTCATTGGTGCATTTTCTCACTATATTCCCATTTTGACTAATTATTTCCGTCACTAAATACTCAGCCTAGCGCTACGTGCGCAGCCGAGACCCTATTACCTATTTTGCATACTATATTTAGATTGTTCAGCTCATCACATTGGACCTGTGCGCCTAGCGGTGCTTAGCTACTTTACTTATACCCCTCTATTATTTATGTACTGGGTCAATTTTCTGCCCACTTTCTCTGTGTCTTTAGATACAAGGAATTTTACTCGTTGTTTGCAAGTGACTATCTAAAGTCGCATGCTTCGGTCATCCGCCTTCACCTTAGCATCAGCCAACCTTAGTTGGGGTGTTAATACTTGTCTAGCCTCGTCTTCCTTTCATCTCTCTCACTTGCTAGTCTTTCGCCTTTGCTCGTGCGCATCATCTTCACATTGTGTACCTCGCCCTTCGCCATTTGCACTCACATGTCCACCTTTCATTCATTGCATCGTTCCCACCTTGTGCTTCATTCATTACTTAGTCCTAGTACTTTATTAGTTGTTTGATGTCCCTCTTTTTACAAAGAGAGGTTTCCCTTTACTAGTTAGCTGCCCTTGGGTCGACAATTTCACTCGCACCTGGGACTAGCTGTGTTTGCTTAGCTTAGCACCAACTTACCACACAGTTTAGATTCCTCATCTTCACCGCTTCACATCCTTTGAAGTGCTCAGCAGCTTTTATATCTGCTGGGTTAAGCAAGTCACAGTGTGATCCCGATAACCACTCTTTCACAGCTCTGATAATCTATGGATGTTCAAGTTTATGTTCAGGTAAATGTTGGAGAGGCAGGATGACTATGACTTACTAGTCCTACAGCCAAACCAGCATCATTGGCTGAATATCCTGAGGGTGGGGGTAGTGCTAATGAAGGATGGGGAGGTTCCAAAGATCAGCTCATGGATCTGAGATGCGAGAGCTGGAAAGTAGGCTGCTGCTGGCCTCATCGGGCGTACCTAGGCCATAGATGACTTGGAGGGCCTGGCTGGTCACAATATAATTCCAGGCATAGTCAATAGTCATGGCAAGAGACCATGGAAGATCAAAATCTCGACCATAATGTGTGTTGCCAGTCTGCTGGTGGTGCTGTGCCTGCTGGTCTATGTGAGAATCTGAAAGCTGATCTTGCTCCATCAATGACAGAAAGAACTTTTGTAGCATACCAGTTGTAACATTTTGAAGTAGTGAGCTTGACATTACGACCAGAAGAGACTTTGTGTGCCTCTGCAGTGATGTGCAAACTGACCTAGCTTGCATCTGAAAGCCATACTGATGTGATACCACAGGTTGACAGTTATACCAAATCCAAGTTTGAGTATATATTTCCTTTTCATTGTAGCTAACAGGTTCTGCATGGTAAACAGCATATCATTATTGATGAATATCTGCTTCTGATAGAACTCTTTGATTTATGGCTTGTCTAGATAGCCAATGTATACAGCAACTTCTGCAAATGGTCTGGTCAGGGCAAGGTCTTGAATTATAATGTTGGCTGTGACTCTGTTTATGGAGTGAGGAATTAACTTGTCAGTCCTGGTTAGTACTGTTCTCTTGTAATATGTCCTGAGCATTGTCAGATTCTTTCCCAGCATGACTAGGTTGCACTAAGAACGAGTCTGTTTCCTATATAAACATATATGTATATATACTCATCCAGATGAGATGAGATGTCATCTTGGTATTTCTATAGGTCATGGCTGTTAGTTCCATGCCACAATTTGGTGCTCCACTCAGCATCTTATATCTGATTAGGATAAGCTTTTGAAAATCTGCATAGTCTTCTAGCTACTGAGTGCTCCTGTTCCACACCACCTTTCCTTGACATATGACAGCAAACTGAATGAAGTGCTCAGGATTACTTATGAGGGCCTTAAGAAAATGGTTGCAATCTTCGAAACAAATGTTTCTGTGGTCCAACAAGAAATAGTAGCCCATGTCATGGTTGCTAGTGTTATCTACAATGTTATCATAGCATACCCTTATCTTTATTCCAGCTAATATCTTATTCTCCCAGAGATCCACTAGTTTCTCCTCCATAGATATAAATATCTTTCTTAGATCATCTATGTACATCTTGTTTCCTTGGTACAGCATCTTTATCTATCTCCTATGATCTACATATTATACATGAGGGAGACTGATAGTATTATAGGGTAATGCTCGATGCTTGATGCTGAAGGAATCATATGCTGCTAAAAGGAGAGCCAGTATGAACCAAGATTGAAGGACATTAAAAGCAGCTTCATTGTTATCATTGTATACCTCAATACTAAAAATCTTCAACTGTTTCAAACATGCAAATCACATACAGTACTCTACTCTGGCAAAGTCTGAAGTAATAAATACAGGTTTTTTATGTTATCCATCAACCTTCAGAGTATGCAGAATAATGGCCTGCTCTGTTGGACAAGGAATTGTGTTGTCTTCCTCCTTGACTCACTTGGTTATCCAGACAATAGTGAGGACTGCATGTATCTTTTCTGTGGTCTGGTCTCTCTCCCTCAATACCAGTTCTAAATTTTGCAGGGCTTGCATGAGGTCATGTGTGATAGGAAACTCATAATCATAGCTTCCATCTGCTCTTAGTAGCATGACTAGAAGACCAACTGTTGAGCGGATGTATGACTCCATTGTTGTCCTTTTAATATCAGTAAAGAGGGGAGTTATTTATTCTACTGTAGACACATAATTTCAACATACAGATATAATGATAATGACCAACTGACTATTTCAATGGAACAGGAGAGTTAAGGCACTGCAAGATTAACTTGTCTGTGATGTCCAACAAAACCAAGGTGCTTTCAAAATATTCTTCCACTACTTATATGAGATTTGGCATCATGTGATCATCTGCCTTTGGTAGAGCTACAAGAATTCTTAGAGCTGCTACATTATAGCCAGTCAAGGACTCACCATATACTTTCTTGTAGTACTTACTCAACTCTAGTCACCTCTGTCATCTCTTATCACATTCTGTCCATCTCATCCTGAAAATCACAAGATAGTTTTGTTTCTCTAGCCACCCTCCAAAACTGCTTGTGTGCCCCCATATTGAGCTGCTACACTTTGTAAATAGCCTATTGCTTGGGAATTGAAGTAGACTGGTGGTCTGTTCAGTGATGTTCACTCATGTTTGCTTTGGAATGGCATATATATGAGCATAAGTTGCAGGTAATGTCATTCTGTACTATAAGACCTTTGTAAGCACTAGCTATGGAAGCTGATAAAGTCGGGAGGACCTTTATGTCAGCAACAGATTGACATTATCAAGTTCTGTCCAGTTTAATTGTAGGATGTTTATTTTTTATGTGACCAGGCATGTAATCCAAAGGCAAAGTAACTTGATAGATGTGGCAGCAAAGAGTACAAATGTTAGGATTTACTATAATATCGATGAGGTCCAAGTATAGGTGATGAAGTAGTCCATCCTTTGATATAGTTCAATCATCATATGTGTATGGTAGTTACACCACTCACTTGACTTTTTTGCTGGATGACTGAAGTGGCAGGTTCTGTTGATCTAGGCTAAAATGAATATCAGTAGATAATGCATACATACCATGGTGCCTACTCTTACTTGATTATCTTCTTAAATAGTCAGAGTCCTCTTTCTTCTTCAATCATTTATATCTAATGCTTAGTTGATATTCATGGTCTGGTCTACATAATAAAAAACTATATATATATGCCAGATTATAGACTTACTTCTTCCAAGTGTTGATTAAGATCTCTTGATTGATGGGTGTCTGAATGAAATACCAGACTGTTGCTGCTGTTTATAGCTTGGTCAGTGGACATGTGTGCTAACCTCTTCTCTTATCTAGCTGGACCGTATGGGCTGTGAATAAGGTTAATGTTTCTATGCATTCTTTTGGTTGTGATGAGTGATGATTTCACCATACTTGTATGTTAAGTACCTTGTTTGAAGCTACTAATAGAGTGGGAGCACTCTGTTGATTATGGTGAGTGGTAATTTTGGTATACATGTATGTTAACTACCGTGTTTGAAACTGTTGGCTGGATGGAATAATTCTGTTGATTGTAGTGAGTGATATTTATGCAAATATATATATAGTAATTACCTTGCTTGAAGCTATTGAAGCCTTTTGTGAACTGTGGTGAGTGGTGATTTTGGTATACATGCATGCTAATCACATCAAAAATATCCATATATAGTGTCTGATCATTTTCTGGTTTGCACAGAATATAAAAAGTGCCAATTCCTGAGTGCTCAGAAGGAACTAGCAGCAAATGGCCAATTTTGGTGTGTTTGTGTATTTGTGTTTATGTGTTTGGTTTGAAGATTTGTTTGTTTTACTTGATACTCAACCTTCACCATTTTATACTTTTATTCAGTGGCAAAGCATTATGGATGCCTCTCCATCAAGGAAGGTATGTCCTAGAGTCATCCAGACCAATCTGTATCCAACATCCTCCTTTCCTGTCAAGAAGAGAGACATTCTAGGCTGGCAGATGTAAAGAGTAGATCTGGGCTGGGCTCTACAGAACATGAGTCCCTAGTCCTGAGAGATGTGAGTATGCTTTGTCCCAAGAGACAACCTAAAGAGCTACCTTGATAATGCAAGGGAAGTCTTATACAGTCAGAGAGTAGACAAGATATTGGAAGTAAACCTCTCTAATGTCCATCTGGAGTTCCGAGACTACGTCCGAAGTACCGAGGTACTTGTCCGATGCGACCAAAAGTTGTCTGAAGCAGCGAAAGTGTTGTCTGAAGTAGCGCGATGCCTTCCAAGGTTTGCGAGAGCTGTCTGAAGGTCAATATATGTCGGTATGTTGATGTGTCGAATAACAATATAAGACTTTTGCGAAATGTCCGGAGTCTGGAATGACACTAATCTATCAGAACTCCAGAATAAACGAAGTGCAGAATTGGCAGCGGTCTAGCCAAACAATCGTTCTGAATGAACAAAGATTGATTGCGCAGTTATGATTATACCGAGGTGACTCTACTAATTACGACTCGAAGTACGGGAAGTGAAGTGAAGTATCAGTAGCCAGTGAGTGAGATTATATCCTACTTCTGTGAGAGACCAGAATCCATAGGCAAAACTAGTAGTGAGATAAGCAAGTCTGAATCTATGTAATAAGCCGCGATGTGTACTGTGTATACATATTCCGAGGCTCCCGACAGGATGCCGATGGAATTTATCTATGTAGCACTTAAGATGTAGTCAACATATAATTAGAATAAGGGAAAATGCACCAGCAAAGTCAAAAGGACAAGGATAGGACATGGTATGGTAACTCACGAGGTTCGGACAGGCCTCGGAACGCAAGAACTGCCTGCAGAAGGTTCAGACAAGTGCGCGCGGCCTTCGGAAGGTCAAGGGAGGTCGGGGAATGGTATGGATGTAGGTGTTGGATTGCCTGGTTCCGAGCCCAGTGCTGTGACCATCATTACACAGGTCTGGGTGGGAAACAACACACTCATACATTATAGAGTTTTTCTGTCCTGTCTTGGATATTCTATTTCAAGTATTTGTCATCTACATGATATTAAAAAGACTCTACGGCATTATTGCTAACTTAGACTAGGTGTATAAAGTGAAGTACAATTTGAATAATGTTACATAAATTTTAATCAAGCTAGGTAAAACTTTGCAAAGCTTTATTATTTTTAGGTCAGTTATCTGATGTGCCTAGGTAGATAGTGAGTAAGCTTATGTAAGCACAGGTTTCCTTACATAAACCAGTACTTCTCACAGGTCCCATCAGAACAATTCAATTATATTTGGGAAACCTATATTGGGCATGAGAACATCTTGACACATATATAATCAGTGCATAGATCTCCTTATCTGCCCCTAAGCTTCATGATGCATCACATAGAACCAGACATAGATTTGAGTATTGTTGAACCTTATTATATCTATAGGCCCTTAAACTTTCAAATAGAGGGAGCATTGCTTTGTAACCACCTATCCACACTGCCCAACAGCACACAGACTTCACTTGAGGAGTTACAGAGTCAACCAGAATCTCCATGCATCTCTCAAACTCTTGCAAAGTTATAGTGCCTCCTACCACAAAAACAATCATATCACCTGACTCCTCCACCATCTTCATCAAGTATATCTCCAGAAACCTACAACTCTATTTTGATATTCTTCAAGGATGTTGCAGATGGCACAATAACAAGGGTTGTTATACAAGATATTATACCAGCCACATATGACATAGTGTTGGAGAGAGCTACAAACAATGGAAATTGGGAAGCTGTAAGGTGTGGTACAACTTTGATCAGTTTCAACTCAATACTCAAGACAATATAGAGTTGACTACAATGAGAGTGTGCTCATTATACACTACCCTAGCTTTGGGTGTAAAATACTGCCAGAACTGTTTGATGTCATAAGGTATACAGGAACATCATATCCAAGGGAGTATCATAGCAGTAAAAATCACCTAGGGTGGATCAACAACCATTACCCTGGCAGCTGGTTTGAAATCACCTGATTTCAGCCTATATGAAGTGAAAGAAAGTAGCAGGCAGGTGGAACAAGTGACAAATGAAATTCCTACTATTGCCTTCAAAGTAGGATATTACAGGAAGGGAGAAAAAAAACTGACTATGAATGTCAGCAGACTTATATGCCTATCCAAAGACATGATACAGTTTGTTGTTATCATTGATATCAATCACAAAGTGGAGAAGCAAAACTATGGGAGATGAAAACTGAAATTTATTATCTGAACCCATTGGGAGATGGATGCTGAGTATCCTCAGATTATTAGAAAGGGTAATACCTATGAGCTTAACAAGCTCCTTCCTAAAAGAGATGAAAAAATTACGAAGAATACAGAGACCATCCAACCAATATTCAATGCCTATCGAACAGTAGTGAGTTTTGCTAGAATACCACATTGGGTCAGAGCCTACAAGTCAAATACCTATAAAATATCTAAGCCAGTTGTTTTCTGTATAAAATCTGCTGATTTCAATGGTCTGGAGCTATATCTAGATCAAGGGATCAAGTCTATTCTAATCCTGTATGGTCATTTGTTCCATGACCTCCAGTAGAAAAACCTAAAGTGCCCTGCATTTGTCTTCTAAACTGTAGACATCATGGCTATAATCTATAGCCATGAGACTGTTCAGCGTGAAATTAATGAAAAAACAAGAAGACAGAGGAGAATGTGGACTTGATTAGCCAGAAGCTACTTACAAGGTTAAAAAGTGTTATTCTGACCAGTGATAGAATCATAATGTAATTCCTCAGAAGTCACTGCTTGTTTACTCAATCAACATGTAGCCCACATGTGTACTAGTGTGAGACACAATTAAGCTATATACATTTCTTCATTGCTGTAGAAAGACAGCAATGATCAATGGATGCCTATATTACATCAGTTTCACTGATGACTATAGCCAGGAGATGAAGATAATGTTTCTGAATAAGAAGAGTGAAGCATTTACCACATTCAAGCAGTACAAAGCTTATGTCAGCAGACAATGTGGAGTGCACCTGCACAAGATTTGATCTGATCACGGAGGAGAATATATGAGCAATGATTTTGATGAGTACTTGAAGAAACAAGGAATAACAAAAGAACTCACAGTGCATGACTCTCCACAGCAGAATGGCATAGCCAAATATCTAAATGGGCCATGTTATTGGCCAAAGATCTGCCAAAATTCCTATGGGCCAAAGCCATCAATTATGCCACTTGGCTCAAGAACCGCTTACCTTCAAAGGCTATTCCAGGACAAACATTGTTTGAAATAATGCATAAGTCTAAATCAAATTTAGCTGCAGCACATGAATTCAGACAACAGATGTATGTACATGTACTGGATAATGTAAAGTTAGAAGCCAAGGCAGAAGAAGCCTTATTTGTTGGTGTTGATGAAGAAAGCAAAGAATATCAAGTGTATTGGCCAGGAAAACAAAGAGTTTTTATCAAAAGAAACATTAGTTTTGTGCCAGTAAATATCAGCACAGAAGATGATGTACTGGACGAGGGGGAGTCTAGGCTAATACCTCCCAAAAATAATGTTCAAAATAGCATCCAGAATGTACTAATATACATGTAACCTTCAACAATGTCCCAAGTTCCCCAAACACCAAGCCAACCTCCCAAAACACCACCCCAGAGTATACAGACACTGCAGGATCCAATAACTCCCAAAGCCACAAGAGTACGACCCCCTGCAGGATACTATAAAGCCTTGAACAAAGGACAAAGGGCAATCATAGCAATGGAAGACTCACCAGTGTAAAGAGTAAATCTCTGCTGGGCTCAGCAGAAACTGTACTACCTAGTCAACAATATTTAGGTAGATCTTAGCATGACCTAGTCTGCTATACTTGCAGGGCAAGTGTGTTTGATCCTAAAGGGATTGCTAATTGGTATTAGTAGTAAAATGTGTTAGTAATGCAAATAACAAAATGTCCAATGCTGCAAAACGATGTCCGAAGGTAATCCGATGATGTCCAAGGGTACTTATCCGATGTCCGAAGCCAAAGTGTGATGTGCAAGAATTCGGACTTTCAGACTTCACGAATATAGGTTGGAAACTATGTAATGGGTGTTGGGTTGCAAGCGGTATCGCGAGTATAATGAATGGCAGGTTTGTGACGGTGAAGGAATGGTAATATTTTGCAATGCAACTAAGAACTACGAGAATATTCTGAGTGATCCACAGAGTTGGGAAACGGCTCCTAACTACTGGATAATAATTGCTATGGGTCACTACAGAGTATTTAAGTAAGTACGTAGAAATCCAGAATACTATAGGCGAAGATAGTATCGATATATGTTAGGTCTGATGTCCTATGTAATAAGACACGAGGTGCTGTGGACATGTAATAATGTGGTCCGAATGTCAGAAAACGTGCACGGGAATAACTATGCACCTAGTGAGGCTAGTTCGGAAGGATAGGACACAGGATGGACAAGTGTGTGCGAAGTGCGATTGGCTGATGCGATGTCCGAAAGTCCAATGTGGAGTGGCTCGGACACATGTGGAAATGCATCAGACATGTGCGTGTATGTTTCAGGTGTTGATGTGAGTATGAAAAACTGTGGTTCCGAGCCCAGCGCTGCTACCATTGTTACACCACACATCACGAAAATTTCAGTGACAAAGTGCACTCAGACCTATGGGGCTCCTCCCCAGTGCAAACTCCTGGCCACGAAGAATATTTTGTGTCATTTACTGATGATCATATGAGATTCACTCACCTGCATCTACTGTGGTCAAAAGACGAAATGTTTGATGCATACAAGAAGTACGAAGCCTGGTCAAACACCCAGTTCAACATGAAAATAAAATGTCTTTGTTCTGACCATGGGGGAAAATTTACTAGTGAGGAGTTCACCCGTCATTTACGTAGCAAAGGCACAGAATGAAAACTCACTGTACATGACACTCCTGAGCACAATGGAGTAGCAGAGCACCTGAACAGAACACTTTTCAAACGCACATGCACTGAAGATGAGGAATCTAAACTGTGGTCAAAGTTGGTGCTAAGCTAAGCAAACACAGATAGTCCCAGGCGCGAGTGAAATCGTCATCCCAAGGGCAGCTAACTGAGTAAAGAGAAACCTCTCTTGTAAAAAGAGGGACACCAAACAACTGATAAGGTACTAAGACTAATAGGTGTGCGAAGCGTGAGGCAAGAATGATGCAATAAACAAAAGGTGGACACACGAGTGCAAAAGGCAAAGGGTGAGGTGCGTGACACGAAGGTAACACGCGCGAGCAAAGGTGAAAGACTTGTGAGCGAGAGAGAAGAAAGAGAGACGAG